ATAATACACTACCAAAAATATACTACATGTACATGCTAAAATGTGTGGGTGGGCACATGATTATAATACATATGCAACAAATGTTTGATTATTAAATTACAATCATTATTACTATTAATACATCAGACAATGCAGAGGGCACAGACTGATTATACAGCACTGATGTACAAGTGAAAGTACATGAAGGAAGAGAGTGTGTGGGTATTTCCCTTTAGTATAATATTATGACATTACAGTAGGTTTCATCCCTAATCCTCAACCTCCTCTGTTTCCCTTCCCCTTGTTTCCCCCTCTCTTCCCTTCCCCTCTCTCTCCTTCCCTCTCTCCATGACATAAAATACTTCGTTGGTCTAATGAATGAACATGTGATGTAGTTTAAAGTGCAGTATAAAGGTTAAAACCAGTTACAATAAATGAGAGCATGCGATGATGAATGTAACACAATACAAATACACTACACAGTAAATTTTTAACATCATAAAAGTTCATGAACTTTTTGCTACATAATATAATGTGGTACATGTACATGTACATGCCTGGATTGGATACACGTGTATGTTGTATAGTGCAGTATTGTAATGCTGTTACCATTAATCTCTCGTTAGTTTGTTGAATGTGTCGTTCCATATTTATTGACATTGGAGGAGGAGGAGGTACCATCATATGCGCCGGAGCACCTGGATGCTAAGAGGAAGGAGAAAGGAAAGAGAGAGAGGGAGAGAGAGTAAGTTTACATTGCAATTATGATTACTAAGCATAACTCATTATCATGAGATGAAGAGAAAAAGAGAGAGAGAAGACTAACAGGGATTTGTTTAATTCAGTTAATACTAAATACTACCAGTACCACCTGCTCTAGAAAAACAGGAGGTCAAGGTCAGTACTCTAACAGGGCAAGGCTCCACCCACCAGACCATGAATCTAATTAACTGAATCCTCATACATAACCATANACAGGATAATTACACATGTATGAAAACTTATTTAGCCATCTTCCATCCCTCACTCTTCTCTCTCTCTCTCTCTCTCTCTCTCTCTCTCTCT